TTTTTTTTGTCCTTGACTTACTCAACTGAAGTTTCGAAAAATTACGACGTTGTTCTGGAAGCAGTAATTCTATTAGAAGTCGAGCATAAAATAAGTCAGGTGAATCAAGGTGCAAGTGATTTAGTATCACGATTTCGTCTTTGCCCTTCTTTTTTTGTGACCAGTGAAGTGTCGAAAAAAAAAACAACCTTGGAAGGCACTAGCTGTTTTACATTTAACAATTTTCTTCAAGGTACTGTACTCATTATTTTTGCGATAATAAAATCTCGGCCTCACGCCATTTGTCGAAAAATTTTTGGAACCAGGACTTCCGCAAAAGTAGCATTTCCTCAACAACAAAAAATAAATTATCCAGTTGAAAGGACAATATTGTATCCAAACGACGGAATATTTGTCATGAAGACAAAAATAAAAATGCAGCCGAGCGGAAAAAGTGCACAGTATTTTGCAACTCGTGGCCTTTGCGAAAAGAGTGACAAAACTCGCGACTGCGCGAACTCCTTTTGTTTTCACCTTTATTTTTTTATTTTATTTTTTATTTTTTTAGCACTACGCCAAGGTTACGACACTTTTGTGAGCTTCGAATAAATTTTGCCGCCTCGCGGAATTTTCATAAATAATGTACAGAAGTGCTCTTTTTTTTTCTGCCGGTTTATTTTCTTTTTGGGGGACACGAGTCGAGTTGCGAAAGCAGCATTGTTTTTATTTCGGACACACACACACACACATTAGTCTAACAAATTTTAAGAGATTTATGTGAGTTTCAAACACGTAATTCTTCTACAGATAGTTTATGTATGGGCGAACTATTCTTAGTTCTCGAATATTAACATTCTGGAAAATATCCTAGCTTCAACATTGGCGAAGGATAAATGAACTTTTCGTTTGTCAGATAATTATCTTTTTTTTTTTTGTACAAGGCTAAAATTTTGTAAGTTTGCGTGGTCGAAAATAAACAAAGTAAGACGAATAAAAGCTTCGTCAATCGTCTGATTTTTTTTTCCTCTCTCACAGAATGCAATAAAATCTATTGAGGCGATGAATAAAGTATAAGCTGATCGGAAGGAAAAAGCTTCACCCGGAAATTGGCCGGAAGTGGAATTTAAACCCTTCCCAAGACATTTCAGACGATAGTAATAAATTGACAAGAACTCTCTTTTTTATTGAACCTTACACGACGAAGACCCCGGAATTAGTTTTATCCTGTTATTTCTTCGCTTCGACGACCGGAAACAATAGGGAAAAATGAAATCAACCGAATGAAAAATCCCCCGGAAAGAAGGAATATGTCATTCTTTTTTTTCGTGCTTCCGTAACTTCCGGACAATCCGAAAATCGACCGATTGATTCGTTCCGGTCGATCGTGACCCATTTCCCACGAGACAAAAAGATTAATAAAAAAGAAATTTAAAAAAATGAGACGAACAATAAGTATAAAATTTTAAATACAGTAAATGCTTCAATAAGTCTCTCTAAAACAAAAAAGAGCAAAAATAGTCGAATCACCCACGACCCGAATTTTCCTTTTCTATTTTTTATTGATACAAAAAAACCAAAGCCTGCTGGGCTTTTATTTTTTTCCCCCCATTGGGGATGACAGGGGAAATATTTGCCTAGTCAATGGAAAAGCTGCTGCTTGTTTCTGCTGCTGACCAAGTGATGTTCCAGCAGATGGTCATCGCAGTGCCTCAGGGCCACTTGACTTTTTCTTATCTCAACAATTCCCTCAGCATTCTTCCCCCATCAGAAAACCAGAAGGCAAATACCTTTCGAATAAAGACTGGCTAGAAACTGAGTCAATGAATCCGAAACCACTGCTGAGTACATATTTACATGATTATGAGATTGACTGACTGTGTTTGAAAACCCTGAATTTAAAAAAAAGTTGAAATTGAGACTGGAGTTTCTTGGTACTTTCAGATTCCAGAAATTGAACAGAAGCCAAATATACTGAAGTTATTGAAGGAAACACTGCATTTGACTCTGCCCTGATTTCTGAAAGTACTGTATGTGGCATCAAACCATCAGTCTTCAAAACTAATGGTCCCCAAACTTTTTGGCCCATAGAGTGGACAATTTCCATAAAATGTTTTGCAGACGAGCAGCAAATTTCCAAAAAATGCTACAGTAGACCTGCAAAGTTTCCTACAATTTTTGCAGACTCAAAACTGTTTCTTCAAAGACTTAATGGAGGGTACTTGGGAAGTTTCTGTTTTTTGTTGTTGGAAAAAACAAGTCAAGAACCAACAGCTTTAATGGAATGTTTTCAAACAATTAAAAAGGTGAGCTTGAAGAAAGGTTTCTCAGAATGAAAATTTTAAATAATTTACTTCATCAAGTGGAAATTTGTCATGAGCGTTATTAGAAGGAAAAGCCAATACATGTTATGAGATCATTTTAACTGCCATTGTCTAGTCAAAATTTCAGAAAACATTGATTTAATGTCCTTCATTGCTGGTCTGTGGACCACAGTTTAGGGAACACTGTTCTAAACCAGTTACTGTACAGTATTTCTTTTTAAATAAGAAATATGCCACCAAGAGTGAATTTTGAGGAATCCTTGTCAGTATGACACAAATCCCTTTTTAATTCCCAATCATGAT